GGTCAGGCTGAAAATCGCTTGTCATCGTTGACGGGATGGCAGCAGTCAGTTCCGGGACTGGAGCAGGTAACCTCATCACTTGGTCGAGGAGCTCGGAGAAGTGACGCACAAGCGTCAAACATCCTGTGACACGTAGGAAGCGGCCATCTCCTGAGTGGGTCTGAATAACAGGAGACACACACACACACACACACACACACACACACACACACACACACACACACACACACACACACACACACACACACACACACACACACACACACTCATACTGTACTGAAATTTGCAGACAATGCACCTTTTGTTTGCGTGTTCATTATGTGCCCTGACGATGGAATGAGTCAGTATCCTGTCTAGGGGTCACCAGGTTTCTCCTCGGATAAATATGGTTCTGCCCCTGACTGTGTGTGTATGTTTGTGTGTCCATATACTTGACGGGATTCAATCGTTTATTTTACCCCTAATTTTTCTTCTATTTGGATTCATTACGCAAACATTTCCCGCAGCAAAGACAATGAAAGGTGATCAAAGACGCCGGGAGTGCTCGCTCTCTTGCTCTCTCTCTCTCTCAAGCCTGAAAACATTTGAGGTGGAGGTCCGATGTTTTGGGTTGATCATTCCTCTCGTGTGTCTCCTTGTTTACATTATAACTTTTCGTTTGTATTTTCGGAGTCGTACGGAGGCCTCACGGAGAGAGAACTTTTCCTTGCCTAGTGCCAAGATCCACCAGGAAGATCTTATCAAGGCGGCTACGATCATCCAAACACGCTCGCTGCCTTCGTTCGTTTGTTTAGATTTGCAATCCGTGTGCCCGTTATGCAACAGGCCCGCTCTAAAGTTTCAAAACCTCGGAGCCAATGAGCAAAATAATATTTTTGCGCTTACCGGGAGTCACCTTTTTGAAATGCCTTTTTCCAAGCGGGGTTGGTCGACCACACTTGATGGACTAAAATAGTGCAAATATTAATCCGCCAAATGATAAACATCATACTTGTTGACTGAACATCGGATTCCGCACTAACCTGAATATGTATGTATATATATATATATATATTTTTTTTTTTAAGGTTTTGATGGCATGTTGTAGCGTTTGCAGAATGTGCTTGTGTGTGTGTGTGTGTGTGTGCGTTTGCAGAATGTGCCGCTTGGGCACAAGAATGCAACTTTTTTCTTTTGTCCTTTCTCCAACTAAATAAAACCTTTTTAAGATGTTCAACACTCACTTCAAAACAGCAAACGATCATTTTGCTTCCACGACTGAACATGTTCTGCCGCATGTTGTATTGACACAATGTCACGATTCCGACATAATATATGGAGCGAGATTTGTTTGTGTTCTTTGGCGCCAACTTGATTTTGTCAAATGTAAAAGAATGAGGGAGGACATGTTAGAATGAAACACGGAGAGTCATTCCTTCACGTCTTGACTCTTTTGGGTTGTTTTGGCTTGACTGGGTCAAGAATGTTTCCCTGAGTGAAAATATTGTTCATGATTGGCTTTGTTGTGGCAGGCTACAACAGAAGGATGTGGAGTTTTTGATTATGGCCCGGTTGTGGGAGGCAAAACTCGGTGACCTTCATTTTAACTTCTGCCCCACATTGTTTAGCCCACTGGCTCAAAGGTTTGTGAGCAAGATTGTCTCCAAATTGTGCAATAAACTCTTACAGGTGTTTGCTTTTTTTTTTTTTTTTTTTTTGCCCAAAGTCTGGGGGCCCCTCCAGTCTACAGGATTGTGAAAACCGGACTCAGCTTTGGTGGAGCAGTGCAAGAGGCACGATGAGGTTGGGCTCACTTGCATGACTGATTTCAGCAAGACGAAAACTCTACCAAAGTGCAACCTTTTCAACAATTCAAATAATGAGATCAGTGGTTGTCAACAGCGCAACTCTGCAAATCGTCATCGGGTTGAAATGTCACACTCTGGTCACTTCAGTTGGTGTTCTGAATCCGCTACCTGACGCATGCGGTGGGACAGCGAGCCGTGCAAAACACGGGAAAATGCCAGCTTTGACGGCCAGTGCGAAAAAGGCTTCCGCTTATCATCGAAGTACTGCAAGGCTACGCTATCACCTTCGTGCAAAACATGCAGCGACGCCTTCAACAGTTTGTCTTGACTCAATACAAGCAAAGCTAATCTGCCTCAAGAGCTGGCTGAAAGAGGAGAAGAATTCCACTTTTATTTAGTGGTTATCGAATCTCACTCGGCAGCACGCTCGTGAAGACAAAAAAACGCTATGGCCTACATTGCAACATTTCAGACACATGCTGGAATTGCAAATCAAACTTTATATCAAAATGTTGGTCTGTTAACCCAAATTGACAAAAAACGTGTTTGGCTTCACACGTGCATGCTTTGCCTTTGTCCGCATTGGCACGTTTTGCACTCTTTCCCAGCCAAGTGTGCATATGCATGTGTTCAAGCTGTTATCTAGGGCATTATTCCGCAACACCTACCAGCGTGTCAACACCTGCACCTTGGGGTGGTGGGGAGGGCTTTAGGCTGACGCGTGAGTTTTGGCAGGTTCTGGGTTTTGTGACGCTCTCTAAACGAGCATGTGAGCAGACTGTAATAATGGGCACATATGCTCACAAACACACAGCGGCTATTTTTAGGAAAGACTCGCACTTTTATGCTTCACTCGTCAGTGTTTGTGCAGTTGGGGGGTAAGGGGGGGTGGGGGGGTTTGCACTGGGGCAAGAGTGGGACATTAACAAAAGGACAAAGAACACTGGTTCGTTCGTTTAGTGCTTCACAATATTTTTTGTGGCATCATCTTTTTTTTTTTTTGTTCCTTTATATGCTAACACTGGTTGGTAATGCTAATCTGTGCTAACACTGCGGCTTGGTTTAGCTTTTGGCTTTGACACATTTGTGCTTTCGGGTCGTAAGTACACTGTAGGGTTAATGATCGTGACCGTTGGATTTCCCATTCCCGTTTTTTGCCTATGGTACCACGGTTTCGTAATTGGACGTGTCTGGTTGTTATCAGACAATGAGGAAAAATAGTGGTTCCCTGGTGGAGGTCAGCCGGGTAACCTGTCGATGGCCTCATCATGGAGTCGCAATGCGGCAACATAAGAAGACACAATATTGCGTGTTTTCGGATATGAGAGAGAGAGAGAGAGAGAGAGAGAGAGAGAGAGAGAGAGAGAGAGAGAGAGAGAGAGAGAGAGAAAATAAGGTGATGACCACTGACACATTCCTGTGTGCTTTTATGTGCGTTGGATCCCATCCAGCTGGAACATAGCGGTACGGTGTCAAAAGAGCATCGCGTCTCAACATGCAGGCAGCCAGTGGAACACGCGCTGACCTGACTCGACAGCATTCCTCCCCCTCCTCTCTTGTTCTGATCGCCATTCCCTGTTTTCCTGATCCCACATTAGAAGCTGTCTAGTCTCTCTGCAAATGATTGAGCAAATTCTTAATCCTGTGGGGTTCATATGAGATACTGAAAGTGGTCTGCCGCCAGGGGCCTTCCAAGCGAAAACACTTTCAGGAGCACAGACCGACATTTACAACTTGAATGAAGTGGTAATCATTTATTTCCTATTTCTTTTATCTTCATTTCATCGTTTTGTCTTGGCCCTGCAGCTTCGTGGGTTTATTCTGATTGTTTTTTTTTTTTTTTCCGACCAGATTTCAAGTTCGATGTGGGAACAAGGATCCATTAAGTTGAACCAACCACTGGAATCTCTTATTTTTTTTATTGTACTGGTAAAATGTATTTTGCCATACAATGAGCTACTATTCCTGGCCAGGCATAAATTTTGCAGCACGCTCAGTTGTTTCGGCAGGTCAGTGTGAACTGAGATTATTTCCAAACAAAGACTGGCTTTTCTCACCATTCAATGAGATGCCGTGAGCAGTCATCGGCAGAAAATATCATTCTGCTGAATTGTATTAATCAATACTTTCGGTCCATAGTGGCTCCCCAATGTCCCGCTTTGTATTTTCACGCCTCTCGCTCGTTCAGATGTTTTGAGAGGTTCTTGGTCTGGCTGGGCCATTCGATGGGCTCGTAAACTTAAAAGGCAGCCGTAAAAAGTTAGTCGCTTCCCCCTTAATGGAGAACAACAGCTGTTGGAGTCAAGCTGTGGCCGTGATCATGATCATGTGTCCGAGGAGGGAATCCTACCAAATGTCCTGACGCTGGACAACCAATGGAACGACATAAGAAAGGCTGATTTGTGAACTGTTACACCAACCGTGGCCAATCAATCAAATTCTTTGGAATTACAGTTTTGGACCATAAACCAAGTTTCCCAAAATGACCACTTTGTGAGCATCAGCCCTGTCATCTTCCACCAAACTCAAATGACTCAAGATTTGAGCATGCAGGAGGTCCGCTTCCGACGATCATGCGGGACTATTGCCTAAAATATCCAAGGAGGGGAGATTCCCGAAACATGGCAAAAGAAACGCACAATAACGCACACAATGTGTTGCACCAGCTGCGGCCAGGGGCTCCCATTCAGGTTCCTGTCATACAATGGCTCATTATGTCGAACCCACTCCGCACTCGCATACAATGGGGCAGTTTCAGGCCATCAGATTAGCAGCGACTGACCCCCTTCCCCACCCTGGAGCGACTTCCTCTTTCCTTCCAAACCAATCGAAATGCAGGCTAGGCGTCAAATGTAACGTGAAACCAGGAGGGATGGCGTGGGGGTCGGGAGGGTGTTGGTGGGGGGGTTGTGGGGGGTCTTGGCACAACACTTCAAACCTCAGGCACAGGGAGGGGAGGGGTGCTGCAGTATCAACAGCCCACTCTCCCACACAAATCGTCCTAGTCTCGACTTGCACTGTTTGCAAACGCCAGCTGCCACATGCAGGCCGCACCAAGACTAGTACCGAGACTTTGCCGATTTTGGGACATCCATTCCGGGATCGTATCGATGGAATGATCATTCAGTTTTAACAACGTGTTACTGGTCCGAGGCTGTCTTTCCCGGGGGTTCTCGGATGATGCAGTGTGTGCTCTCCTTCCTCTCCCCCCAGCTCAGCTCCGGATCCTCCTGCAGCTGTGAGGTCGGCCCCGACGGAACCAAGAAGAAAAAGTCCAAGAACCTGTAAGTGATCCCGCGGCTTCTCGGTGGTGCATGTACGCTCCTGCCTTTTGCTCTTAAGCATGTTATATGTCTGCAAAGGCCTCACCAAATCTGGATTTTGTTCAACACCGTTATCGCTACCCGATTCCTGCCAACATCTGAATTTTTCAATGTCAACAAAAAAATCACTTCAATGTCCAACATGGCCTTGAATTGATTACGAGCAATTGTGAATGGGACATTGAGTAGGAACTGTCAGATATGTAAATCTCGATACTGTACTACCAATGGCCTAATCAACTAAATCTCGGATCTCTACCTTTTATCAAGATCTGCAATGGACAAGGTCCATTCCGTATGCCGCCAAAAACTCAGCTATGTGAACCCAAGTCAACTCTATCAAGACCCGCAATAGAAAGTGATATTTTGTTCCTTGTGTCACAATTTCACAAAGATATTTAGAAAGTCGGATATGCGGACCACGACAGTACATATTAAATAAGTGAAGAAGAAATTCTGGATCTGTACCTTTAGCTGGATCTGAAATTGAATTGAATCCGTTTTTGTTTTTTTTTACAATGCTCCACTACTTGACAAATGATATTCGAAACGACAGCTGTCGAGACTACGATGCTGCCAATGTTATATTAAGTAAAACGGAAATCCTGAATTCAGACAAGACCCTTGCTACAATTGAAAAGTTACTTCTTTAGCCCATCCCCTTTACAAATCCATTTACAGTCAGCTATTTGAACCACGACACAACTAATGACAGATCATCAACTCAAGTGAGAGAGAAATTCAGCATCCTTTTGTCGGAAGCTGAAACAAAATTGTTTCGTTCTGTCCAGCCACTTGAAGTGGACATTAGAAAGTGTGAACCACTTGGCCCATATCTCCACTTTAATCAGGATCTAAAGCGTAATTGAACAGTTCCTTCCATTTTGCCAATTAATGGCCTGGCGTGCAAATGACAGTGTTTTCAATTTTATTGGAAGCTCTTGTGTTGTCATATGAATTTCTGTTTGCACGGGTGCGAGTGGATAAACCTCTTATTCGGATTTTCCTCACGTGGTCATTCCTCAGAAAAATATCTATTTTGACTATTCCTCAAAATGTAGGCTCTCATCGTGGACTTAATGAAGTGCTAAACGATGGGAGAAGACTGTGTGTGTGTGTGTGTGTATGTGTGTGTGTGTGTGTGTGTGTGTGTGTGTGTGTGTGTGTGTGTGTGTGTGTGTGTGTGTCGCCAAATGTGTGCCTCACATTTTCAACTGTGTGTGAAAATGTGTGTGTGTGCGTGTGTGTGTGCGTGTGTGTGTGTGTGTGTGTGTGTGTG